CTTTGAGATCAGCCTGGGCAACATAGTGAGGCCTTTGCCTCTATAAAAACATTAAAAAAAATTAACTGGGCATGATGGCATGAGCCTGTAGTCCTACCTTCTTAGGAAGATCCCTTGAGTCTAGGAGTTTGAAGCCGCAGCAAGCTTTGATTGTGCCACTACACTCTAGTCTGGGCGACAAAGTGAGACCCTGTCTCTTAAAAAAAATAAAAAGGAATTAACCTATAAGCCTGACTTTTTTGTAAACAAATATGAATTGAGTTATAAGAGTGTATATTTTTAATAATAGATATTCAAGCTGAAAACTGTACCCTTCTTTACTTGGGGCATGATGTGGGTTTCATTATTATAATACATCGTAATTTGCTTTGTTCTTGAATATTTACTCAGCCATTCTTTCATTCATCCAACAAATATTTGCTGAATATATTAATATAAGTATAGTGTACTCTTGGAAGAGAGATAAGCTATATTTAAACAGCTGTAGCAAAAATGGTACACAGTCACAACCAGTTACAGATTCCTTAAAAAAAAAAAAGTGCAGTTTTGGGGGAATGCAAAAGAAGGTGAGATTGTTTTCAGCTGGGAAGATTCCAAACCGATCTCTTCTTCTTGGGTTAGGATTGTCATCTGGGCTTGAAGGGTCTGAAAGTGGTGGCAGGGCATTTAGGGCAGAAAGAAGAGGAAGGCATGGGTGTGCACAGAGGCCAGGACATTTAGTTTGGGGGCCAGAAGTGGCGTATAAAGACAGTTGGGGCAGATCTCAGGTCTATGGTGCTAGGCTGATGGGTTATTACCCTAAGCAAAGTTGAACTGTTGGACGTTTTCTACAAAAGTAGTGACGTGATCTGGAAGCAACAGGTCAAATGAAACTTGTCAGGCCAGAACCCAGAGGATGTGCCTCTATGACTCACGAGGCTTGCACTCCACGACTCTCACAAGACTGCCCCAGCATCAAGGCCAAAGTTTGGTTCCCTACTGAAACAGCTGGGCGGTGGTAACTTGTGCTGCCTTCATCCTGAGTGGGACTAAGCTGGCCAGCTTGGATGTAGCCTGTCCTGTTCTGCCCCATCAGCCCTGCACTCTGGCCACTTCTAGGAACCTGCCTCCAAGCTTTGGCAACTTCCCATAATCCCCCAGGGTGTGTGTGTGTCAGCCCTGGCACCCCCCTCCCACTCTGGTTTTGACATGTTTTGTTCGTCTTTAAGAGCTGAGAGTTAATTAAGTTTTTTTGCCCTGCTGTGTTGCTGAGGCAGGGTAGTGTAAAAGACTTATGTGATATTGGCTGGGCGAGGTGGCTCATGCCTGTAATAATAACACTCTGGGAGGCCGAGGCTGGTGGATCGCTCAAGGTCAGGAGTTCAAAACCAGCCTGAGCAAGAGTGAGGGACCCCCCCCCTGTCTCTACTATAAATAGAAAGAAATTAATTGGCCAACTAATATATATAGAAAAAATTAGCCGGGCATGGTGGCGCATGCCTGTAGTCCCAGCTACTCAGGAGGCTGCGGCAGGAGGATCACTTGAGCCCAGGAGTGTGAGGTCGCTGTGAACTAGATGGACTCCACAGTACTCACTCTAGCCTGGGCAACAGAGCAAGACTCTATCTCAAAAAGAAAGAAAGAAAGAAAGAAAAAAGAGACACTGTGGAAATAGTAGTGACGGGATCTGATGACTGAATATGGAAGTGAGGAAGAAGGGAGTCAAATGAGTACCGAGTTTTTGAGCCTGTATGGATTGAAATGGTTTTAAAAGGGCCAGCAGATATTTTTTTTACTTTCATAAAGTTGACCTGAAGCTGTTTTGTGGACAGAGCTGTGGAACAGGCTTCTAGCTTCAGTGATGGTTCCCCTGAAAGGGTATGAGCAGCCCGGTCAGGTGAATTACACCGACACAATGCCCAGCAGAAGCTGTAGTAATTGAGTAGGATCAGGGGAAATATCCTCGTCCCCAAATGCTGGTATACCAACATGTGGAAGAAGCCCTTCCACTGGTTTTAGTCTTTCTGTTATTGAGTAACCTCCTTTTAGTGGAAAGCTTGGCCACTGTGTTTTACAAACAAAGGAATGTGATATTAAATTAAGGGGCAGAAATGAAGGAAATTCAGTGCTCTAGAATCTTGAAAACTGTGGAAAACAAGCTAGTTTCATCTGGGTTTATTTTATGTGGTGCCTGTGGGCTGATCCACATATTTGAATGTTTTCATGGTGGAATATTAAATAATAGTCAAATGTATTGATCAGCTAATATGTATCAGGCACTGTTCTGGACACACTTATTTTACATGCAGAATTTTTATGTACTCCTCCCGAAACCCTGTGATGGGGCCATCTTATTATCTCCATTTTACCGATGAGAAAATTGAGGTTCAGAGAGAGAGGCTCGGTGAACACAGCCACTAATCATGCTTTTTGCTTCGGCTCACTAATGCTCGTGATTTATTCAGTTGGTTTTAATTCTCTAATGCACTGAGGGCCTTCAATGCTGACACAGCTGTGAACATGTCGGTTATATTTGTTTCAAGCCTGCGGGGTAGGGGGTGGGACGGACAGGTCTTCTGCATGGGCAGGATGGCCCTGATTCAAGAGCTACAGGAAACAACTCGCTTTTGGGCTTCTCCTTAATTTCTTAGTTCAGCTTGAGGATGTTCTCCCGGTGCTTGGCTAAGAGGTGCTCCCATCACCATCATCATCAGTTTCAATTATTATTAATTATTGAATGAACACTTTCTATGTGCCAGCTATGCTGCTGAGCAATTTACTGCATTATTTCGTGGAATCATTAGAATTGCCCGGTGAGGTTGCTACTCTTGCTTTCTTCATTTTACATTTGAGCAGAAAGAAAAAGTCACTCCTGTGAGGTCCCATAGCTTGTAAGTAGCAGCGATGGGACTTGAACCCATGTCTACTCCAGAGTCCATCTTCCTAAGCACAGTGGTATTTTGCCCCAACACCAGCCTTTGTTCTCCTTCTCAAGGTTCTGACGCTGGGCACTCCTTTATTTGGGTTTAGATAGGTTTAAGCTAAAATCCAGATATATTTGGGGAATAACTTCAGGCTTTAACAACTTGTGATATTCTTAGCTGTTTTATTCACATGTTGAACTAGTTATTAGGTTAATTACCTAAGGAGGCCACAATCCTTTGTTTATAAGTGCTACCTGGTGGATGATGTGTTGATGGTACCACATGCAGTCATTCAAATAACAGAGCATTTTTCTCAAACGTTGAGAAGGAGTGGTGGCATTGCTGCACCTCACCGGAAGCAAGGTGTCCCTCGGGGAGGTTTGGTGATGTGGCAGAAAACCAGCCTCCAAAGCCTTGTAGAATGCGTCATAGAAATGACACCTACCTCCTTTCATTTCAATCCAGGTGCTTTCAAGGGTGCAAAAATTATTAATAGCATCAGAAACTGACAGCTTGCTCTGCTGATAGACCAAAGAGCGGTTACTTGGACCTAAAGGGCAAATTTTGTTAATCATTTATATGTTTGAATGAGGTAATACTCATTCTCATTGTGGGAATTCTCAAAGATGTCCCATTCCTATGTAATAAAATTACAGGCAAGGATAGAGGATTTTACTACTTATGCACTGAATAAAAGCTAATAATATAACAATCAATTGGATAGCTATAAAGCCGGAGTATATTTAAAAAATTATGCAAATACTGATTAATAGTAATACCATAAACTCACAGAGCAAGTAAAAGCATGCCTGATTCAGGTTATAGGAGCTTTTATTTGCATTTCTACAGAATCTATTATTAGTAGGTCTCAAAGCACCTTACAAGTAATAATTATTTAAGCCCATTATATGCCCAGTGTCATTAAGTGAATAAGAAAGAATTTTTCTTTACCTCATACATATCATGAGACCTGAATACCTGAGCAAAAGTAGGATTCTCCATATATGGTGCGTTCCTACCCTGCGGGTGTCTGGGGCTACAGTTCTGTGGGCACAGAAACTGGCAACCCGGGTTCAGGGCTCTCCTATTATTTCAATCAACGTGGTTAGAACTCTTCACTTAGTTTTGAAATTTTAACTGCATGATAGCTCTAACCAAAGCTTGCCAGTTGTTCCATTTTAATATTTCTCTATTGATTATAATATCAAATTTTAAAAACAAAAATTATGCCAAATTCACATGAAGGTACTTAAAAATATTTTTGAATATTATATCAGATTTCTTCTTCTTCTTTTTTTTTTTTTTTTTTTGAGACAGAGTCTCACTCTATTGCCCAGGCTAGAGTGCCGTGGTGTCAGCCTAGCTCACAGCAGCCTCAAACTCCTGGGCTCAAGCGATCCTCCTGCCTCAGCCTCCTGAGTAGCTGGGACTACAGGCATGTGCCACCATGCCCGGCTAATTTTTTCTATATATTTTTAGTTGGCCAATTAATTTGTTTGTTTTTAGCAGAGACGGGGTCTTGCTCTTGGTCAGGCTGGTCTTGAACCCCTGACCTCGAGCCATCTTTCCGCCTTGGTCTCCCAGAGTGCTAGGGTTACAGGCGTGAGCCACTGCGTCCGGCCTCAGATTTATTCTTTCTGAAGCAAATATCTTGTTCTGTGAACTAACTGCTTTTACTCTGTAGCAAGTACTTGAAATGTTGTTAGGATTTCTGATCTGTTTCAGGACGCTCCTTTGCCCTTTCTCCTCTGTTTCTCCTCCGTTCCCTGCTTTGCAACTCCCGTGTTCTCTAAAGCTAAGCATGGGTTGGAAAAGCACATGGATGTCTCTCCCCGTCCCTCCATCTCGAATCCTCAGGCTCCCCCGACATGGTTGAGAGTTAGCTCTATTTACTCCTGGTGCTGGGAGACCACACCGCATTGCTGGTCACTGGCATGGGCAGAGTTCATGGTGTCAGAGTTCTCGGGGAATTGGGGCTGATAAGTCCCTGGGGAACAGTGGCACGAGACACACTGGAGGGATGTTTACAGAATTACATAGGTGTCTATTCTGCGAGATACGCTACACTTCAAAATTCTCGTTTCATATTTTTTTCAGGGAAAACTGAGGCTGCTATCAAAAACTTCAGCCCCTACTACAGTCGCCAGTACTCTGTGGCTTTCTGCAATCATGTGCGCAGTGAAGTAGAGCAGCAAAGAGATTTGACGTCACAATTTTTGAAGACCAAGGTAAATCGTGGACACTTGGTTTACATGTTTCTCCCATTGAAGAACGCTTTATAGCCCATACTATTTCTGAAATAAACAATGATTTGAATAGCAGTTTTAAAAACTCTGCTCTGAAAGCATTTCATGCCCCCAAAACTGTATTTGCCTGGCACTTAGAATGTGTTACTTCTTGTTGATGGTTTAATCCATATAAAAAGAAAACTAGCACAATTCCAATTTTATTATGTGTTTTTTCTGATGCTTTGATATCAGAAAATTTGACTTGCTGTAGTGAAGTTCAGGTAAAAAAAAAAAAGTCATAATTTCAGTGTATCATGCCCTGAGCTGTTTTATTTTGGTTATTGATCAAATTGATTTTCTATTTGAACCCTCTAATTCATTCTTACTCCTTCGTTCCATTATTATAATTAACCACAACCTCAACAAACATTGATTAGCACCTACTCTGTATGTGCAGGCCGTAGTCTAAGCACTGGGGAATAAGACCAATTCTCTGCCTTCTTGGAGTTTATACTCACACACAGGAGATAGGTAATAAAGAAACAAATGAATATCAGGTGATATCAGGTAATAGTAAATGCTACAGAGGAAAATAAAACAAGAGTCTTTTAAGAGAAGGTGATCAGGGAAGCCCTCTGTGGGGATGACATTTGGGCAGAAACTGGAGTGAAACGCGAGTGGGCTGCATGAAGATCTGGGGGAAGAGTATTGCAGGCAGCTGGAACAGCAAGTGCAAAGACCCCGTGGCACAGAGGAATGGCCAGAGGGCACTGAGCAAGGGAGGAGGGACTCGCAGTGACTGCAAGAGTCAGGTAGGGACCAGACCATGCAGACCGGTAGGCCGCCATGAGGGTTTTGATTTTGCTTTAAGCACGGTGGGAAGTCCCACTGGAGGGTATTGAATACAGGGGGCAATTATACTTTTAAGTGATCTTTCTGGCCTCTCTGTAAAAAATAGACTCGTGGGAGGGGCAGGAGGAGAGTGTGGCCTCCAAGGGAAGGATGATGGCAAACGGGACTGAGTTGGTCGTGGCCGTGAGAAGAGTATTTATGATGGAGCTGACAACTACTGACCATAGAAGAAGAGAGAAGTCAGTGACTATTTCTTGATTTTCAACCTGAACGAATAAGTGGATGGAGCTGCCTTTTGCTGAGAAGGAAGGGTCGAGGGAGGGGAAGGGGCTCACGAGTTCCCTGCAGGCCACGTGAAGGCTGAGATCCTTATCTGACACACACCTGTGGAAATATCTAGCAGGCAGTTGGATGTTCTGATCTGGAGCTCAGTAGACTGATGGAGGCTGGAAAATCGAAGGCTGGGAGCCGTTAGCTTATAGCTGGTGTTCAAGCCATGGGACATCATCAGGGGAGAGAATACAGACAGAGAAAAGAAACCATGCACTGGCCCCACCAATATTTGGAGATCAGAAAAAGAATCCAGCAAAACGGTCTGAGAAGAAACAGCCTGTGGAGTAAGAGGAAAATTGGGAAAATAGAATGTGCCAGAAGGCAAATTAAAAGGGGTTTTGAGAAAGAAGGAATGATAAAGGAGTCAAATACTGCTGAGAGATTGAGTTCATAATAGATTTAGCAGCTTGAGTATGTAGCGATAATGGATTGTTTTCCCCATAAGACAGTGATTCTCAAAATTTAGGGAGCTTGTTAAAAATGCAAATTCTGGCTCACATCCCCAGAGATTCTGAGAGAGTAAGTCTCAGGTGAGGCCACATTTTTAATAAGCTTATCCATTGATTAAGTGGACTAGGTTTAAGAAAAGCTGCACATGAGAACTATAAAGTGCAGCTTAGACTGTGATTTCAGCCTCATTTAAAGAGAAGAGTGAGATTCTGTCTTACCTCTTAATGAGGCACGATAGGAGACTGCTTCGTTATCTGTCAGGACAGAATATTAAGCCCTGGAATTTGGAAGGGAACTTATTTCATCCCTTAGATGATTCTTAAAAGAGATTGGCGTATCTGTCTTCTCTGTATGGCTCATGTACATTTTCGCTCGAAAGTAGATGGATAAGTTTCTGAAGGCACTAGGATTTTTTAATAAAAGGAAAATAGATGTAAATTCAGTGGCATGTGAAAGACAAGAGGCCCATTCGTATATTTTGAAATAATGCAGAATTGTACAAGGAGGCAGGAGGGGAATTATCCTCACATAGTTAACCCCATGGAAGGACTAACTAGGAATCTAGTGGAAACTCTCCTACAGCACATATATTGCCAAGATTAATGAGAAATCCTCAACCTTTTAAGTAGAAGGGGTAGAACTGAGGTTTGCTGGCTTGATACCTGCTTGTCCTTTAACCAGGTAGCAAACATGGTCTCCTGGAGCAGCACTAGGAAGGCTTAATGTTCACAGCCTGGGTCCCCTGGCTTTGGGGTCTGAGAAAACCATTGAGCGCTGGCTGTGGAAGCCACACCTGCTGGTGTGATGAAAATGGGAAGAGACTGTTAATGCTCCTGCTTTTCAGGAATTAGCCCTGAGCCATGTTGAGGAGTCAGGGTAGATGTCCACGCTTACACTTTCCTGCCTCACTCCCCCTCTCCCACAGAGTTGATCAAGCATTTATTAAGTCATGCAAGACACAACCTTATTACTACAATCCCTTCTACCATGTGCTTCTATTCTTATAGCATAATGGAGGGAAATGAAAATCATAAAAACAGCAATAAGACAAATATGTGCATTTGATCACAAGGAGCAGGAAAAGGAAATTGTGGAGGAAGAGGAGGAGGGAGCAACGATTTCCCCAGGATCTCAGTGCAAGATAGTTTTGAAATATAATACCATGGATAACTTAGTAGGAACAGGTATGTTATCATCTGTTGTGACAGTTAATTGTGTTCATCTTCTTTAAGCCACCATTGGAGCCTGGAACTGTTTTGTATGAAGCAGAGCTGTCACAGTTTGCTGAAGACATAAGGAAATGGAAGGACCGATATGTTGTGGTTAAAAATGATTTTGTTGTGGAGAGCTATGAGAACAAAGAGGTAAGACATTTCCTGTTACCACTGGTTCTTGTAATATTCTTAAAACATTGGCTGAGTTGATCGGCATGCCCTTTCCTTTGAGATTGATTCATTCAACAAGTACTTATTTACGTAGGCACTCATTTCAGCAAGCAGATATTTATAGAATGCTTACTGCATGTCAGGTGTGATAGAAGGTTCTGGGTGCACAGCGGTTGATCCGACAGATGCTTGCAGGCTAGTGGGCAAGATAGCCGTTGAACACGTGATTGCGAGTGAGTGTGAAAATAGAAGGTTGTGCCGAGTGACCAGTGTTTGCCGTAGGAGCCTTTCCTGTGATCGCCCAGCCCCAAGGTCTTTCTCAGTCGCTTTCCTGATGCCTGTCCCTCTCTGTCTCCCCACTCTGCAGCCTGATACGTGACAGGTGACTGAGGAGTTATTTCATAAGGTTGTCATTGAATTTGCCTGGTTCTTAGGAATTCAGAACACTTCACATACCTTATTCCACTTATGTCTATGGATTTTTACTCATGTAACTTTTTTTCTGGTCTGTAAAATGTGGAGAAAATGAGATAATGTATAGAAAGCATCTAGCACCTGGGAGGACTTCAGTTTTTATTGGTTCCCGTCTCTTTCCCCAAGCAGGAAGGTAGGTAGCACAGTATACGGGAAAGAATAGGGGTCAGTGAATTTGGAAAACTATAGTTTAGGTCAGGTTGTGCCGCTAACTAGAAGTGAACTCATTGGCTTAAAGAGTCAGGCCACACGATCCCAGCGGTTCCTTCCAGATCTCATCCTGCACACACTGCTTAGTCTACGTACATCCTCAAGCTCCCTTGGAAGTGAAAAACTACTGTTTATCAGTTAAAGACAGTAACGGTGTTATACTCGAGATTTACAAGGCCGCAGGACAGAGAGACAGAGTCACCGAGGCTGTAATTATCAAAAGGAGTTTTATTGTCTAGCTCGAGCTAGGGTCCGGGCCCCCAGAGTGCCAGCGCAGTGGCCTCTTCTCCGGGCAGGGACCCTCCTTTGTGTGTTAGTCCCCTTTTTATAACTCAGTTGTTTACACACTGGTCATGCATCCGCCCCCACAGTGATTCTTACTTCATCCTGCCCCTGATAGGCTCCAACCTGTTCCGGGTCCCAGCTGAGAGACTCCGGTTTCCACGTTCTTTGTCTTTTTCCTCTGCGTCCCATAATGTACTCATAATGCCTTGTGGTTAGCAAGCAAGCAGTAAACAGAAGCTGGAAGGTGTCCATTGTCCTTATAGCCCAGTATCTTAACAACAGATTTAAAACTCTGCTCTCTGGACTCTAAGCTCAAGACCAGGCAAGACCCCAGAACGCCCTGAGCGATAGCTCTAGTGCTGAACCGTTAGGAAGAGGCTTCAGGCTGACGGACCAATGTGTTTCCTTTGCATTTCCGATGAAATGAAATACAATACATAGGCTCCCAGATAAGGCCCAAGCACTCTCTCGGGTAGACTTATTCTTTTGAACATTGATTAAGCTAATATTTTCTCTGCTTATCTATCTTAGGATTTCATTCAACACTTAATTTGTTCTTAGAAACAAATTATCACTACACTACAAATAATAATAGTAACAAATCAACTTATATTTTGGATGGGCTGTTATAATTTCCTTTCAGAGAAGCTCGAGGAGAGACAGGGTAACATAATGGTTTATACCAGGGGTCCTCAAACTTTTTAAACAGGGGGCCAGTTCACTGTCCCTCAGACCGTTGGAGAGTGCCTGTATGTGGCCTGTGGGCCGTAGTTTGAGGAACTCTGGTTTATACTATGGGCTTTGAATCATACCTTTACCAGAAACTAGATATCTGGCCTTGCCTAGGTTCTAGATCTCCTTGAGCCTCAGTTTCTCATCTGTGTGGTGAGTGTGATGCCTTTCTCATGGTGTCGTGGTGAGGCCTGAATGAATGTACTGAAGCTCTCAGCGTGTGGCCGGCCTGTGGGGTAGCGTGGGGTAGCGTAGGGTAGCTGTTAGGACTATAACTGCTGACCTATCGGAGGAAACACCCTAGAGCTTGTTCTTGGAATTATTAAGGTTTTCACCACACTGAACACTCACTGAAATTTCATTTTTAATCAAATTTTGGTGTTTTTCCTCTTTTTACTTATTTGAGCTTGCAAGTTGCTCATTATACTGCTTTTTTTTTAATCCATCATTTTCAAATGAACCTATTCAAGTTGTTAAGCTATGGTGACTGAATTTGGTAATAATCAAGTATTTAAAAAAAAAAACCACACACACAAGCATTTTCTTTCTTTCTTTTTTTTTTTTGGAGACAGAGTCTCACTTTGTTGCCCAGGCTAGAGTAAGTGCCATGGCGTCAGCCTAGCTCACAGCAACCTCAAACTCCTGGGCTCAGGCGATCCTCCTGTCTCAGCCTCCCAAGTAGCTAGGACTACAGGCATGTGCCACTATGCCTGGCTAATTTTTTGTATATATATTTTTAGTTGTCCAATTAATTTCTTTCTATTTTTAGTAGAGACGGGGTCTTGCTCAGGCTGGTTTTGAACTCCTGACCTCGAGCAATCCACCCGCCTCGGCCTCCCAGAGTGCTAGGATTACAGGCGTGAGCCACCGCGCCCGGCCAGCATTTTCTTAATACTTAGGTATTAAGAAAAAGTCCATGCTGTTCTCCATAATTCCTATAAGTTTTAATAATATCCTGTTTTTTAATTTATAGCTTTGTTTTTTAAGATTACACCTAAGAGTTACACATTAAGTACCTATAAATTGCCTATTATTTTATTGAGAGTGCAGTTTTGGCTGGTGATAAAATAGGGAGATGAAGCATTTTGATGAGCAGTTCCTAATTCCCATGCACTTGCCCTGGGCTGAACAGACGTGAGTGTGGATCCTGGGTTTGTCGCCTCCTCACTACTGGGCCATTGGGAAGTTATTCAACCTCTGTAAGATTCATTTTTCTCATTTGCAAAATGGAGATAATAGCTAATGCATAGTATTGTTTTGAGTTTTAAATGACATAATGCTTAAAACGCCAATATTGGGGCCTGTTATAACTAAAAACACAATTTTCATTTGAGTCCAGTCTAAATCAAATTGCTTCTAAATGTTTTCAGAATCATGCAAGTTTAGATTCTTCTCTTATGTTCTAGGTCCCTGATGTGCTCATGCAGTTAGTTGATTACTGGGTCTTATAAGTATGAAAATAAACTTCTGTATTATCTGGGAGTTAATTCTGTTTGGGTCTCTCAGTCACTGTCTTATTGATGTAACATATGTTGTTATTGTTATTCAGATTTTTTGCCTAGATCAACATTAGTTTAGTTATTCTCAGGAGTATATTCTAAATTTGGGGTCTCACAAATTTTTGGTTTTAATTCTAAGCCTGGCTTTAGGTTGCTATTTTCAAAATTTTGCTTTGACTTATGCCCTCCCATCACGTCCACATAATACTTAAATTTTATCTTATCTGTGTGTCCTTGTGGATATACCCTAACAAAGTACTTTGCAATGTGCTGTGTCTCTTTCATGTTTCTCAAACAGCAGAGCTTCTTGTGCCAGCTAGATTTGCTCTGATGTTGTGATACTGGACTTCCATTCTAATCATTTTACTGCAAACTAGTCTTCACGTCTGAGGACAAAGTGGTGGCGTATTTTAGCATGGCAACATTTTAATGTTTTTGGTGAAAATCCATGGTAACCATCTTGTAGTTACATGTTCCACAGTCGCATTCGTCATCATACTTAGCCCACATCAGTCACCAAGCATTTGGTGCAGTGTTTGTGTGATCCTCACCGTTGTGGTTAGTATCAGAATGACTCAGGAGTTAGCACCTGAAATGGTGAACAGTGCGTGGATTTTCTAGAAGTTATTGCGATTATGTTTTCCCCATTTGAGTACAAACCTACAGTGAATCTCCCTGAGATTAGGGACTCTGAATTTACCATGTTGTGATCATCACATAGTAGTATTAAAGTACTGCCTTGCAATTAGCAGGTGTGCCAAACACTTTTTTTTAATAAATGACTCTAACTCAATGACATGATACGGGTATTGCTAACTCTGGGTGTATGTGTCTGGGTCTGTCTATTTTTAATATTTTCCAAAAATCTAAATGGGGAAAAAAATCATTCATTTATGCCTTTCCTTCCCCAGGCCTACCAGAAAGGAGCTGCTCCTAAAAGCCGAATTCTTCCAGCTGGGGGGAAGGTGCTAACCTCAGAAGAAGAATATAATCTGTTATCTGATAAGCATTTCCCAGACCCTCTGGGTGAGTTGCTGGCATTCTTTTTCAAGGCAAAATTCCCAAACTTCTTTGTTCAGTTAGACTGGTGGTTCTTAATGAGGGAAAGGGATTTTACCCTCCAGGGATATTTTGCGCAGACATTTTTGGTTGTCACACTTGGCAAGGGGCAGCTACAGGCATTTAGTGGGGAGCGGCCAGGAATGCTGCTAAACATCCTACAATGCACAGGACAAGCCCCCAACAATGAATAATTACCTGGCATAAAATATTAGTAGTGCCAAAGTTGAGAATCTAGGGCACACCCACCCTCTATAGACAAATGGAAGATGCGATTTTTTTCATTTAGGTAACCTTTGAACCCCTTCTACTCTTTCAAATCCTATTCAGTGATATACAAGTCAGTTTTTGTGTTTCTAGCACATGGGAAATGTGCTATTGGTCAGGTATCTTGAAGTTTTTGGAATATAGTGCAGGCTTTGATAGCATCCTACAGTGCAGCAGAAATAAACAGGTAGGGCCCAGTCCACGAAGGGCACAGTTCCATCTTTCAGTAAGCAAGCCTGGACCTGTCAAGATTATTTTTCTAATTTAGGGTATGCAATAAAATACCCTAAATAAAAAAAAGTCTTTTAATAAGAGTTATAGTAGTAACTCATAGTTACTGTGTAAAAAAAGCATTGCATTAATTCGCCTATCTATAAATAAAGCTGACTGCTGCCGTGGAAAGAGCATTGAACTGAGAATTGGGAGACTGGCTTCTTATCTGGTTCTGACTGTGCCACTTATCAAATGTCCTCCCTTTGCCAGCTGCTGAACCTCTCTGGTTTCTGTTTCTCCAACTCAAAAACAGGGCTTTGAATTTGAAAATCTAGAAGGGTCTTTTTAGTTCTAACATCCTTTGATTCTCATTCATTGTACTTTTTTCATGTAGAAAAAGTGATGGATAATATATAGGCCAAAGAGGGCAATTCGTAGAGATTCATGAACTGTGGATAATGTAATAACTCCATCTGGCTTTGTGTAAATCATACTACACAGTAATTACATGGTTTCTTGAAGAGAGCCCTGATTCTTATTAATGGGCATAATCATTTCATTAGAATTTATGGAGAAAATATAATCATTTTATCAATTGTTATTTCAGTGCAGAATGCTTAGTATGGTGTTTTTAATAATGCAATTATAGGATTAGTACATGGATCATAAACCTAGATTAACAAATTATTACTAAGTAATTCAGGCTAAAACAATACTTATGTGTACTATGCATATTATTATATTTCCTTCCAACATCTGCTTATAGACTATCTTGGCTGTGGAGCTGCAGCTAGAAATGGGAATACCAATAGGTTGACTGAAAAATCTCTCCAGAACTTTCCAATGAAATCAGCCAGAAAAGACAATGTATTTACTGATTTATTGATGAAATCATGTCAGAAGGAATGAAAAGGATTAAAAACACAAGGCCTGTGTGTCTAATGCCGACTGGCCCAGGGCTTCACATTGGGGCACTTCAGTGACTTTTTAAATTGAATAGTGTGGCCTTCTGAGTTTTAAAAATAGAATATTCCACAGTAGATCATTTGTGATGTCTTTGTAACTCAACTTAGAAAAAAATGCAGACTGATGGCCTCTGGAAAATTGTTGTAAAAGGTTAAGCGAGAGATAACTAGAGGCTAATGGGAGTGAATTTTGTGGGGCTTGCTGAGGCTTTTAAATGCAAAGGGTCAATGTTGCTTTCGGCTGTTTGTACAAAATTATGACATTCTTGGAGAAGGCCTGGAAACTGTTTTAGAAAATCATGTCAATCGGGAAGACTGACTGTGTGATACTATGTCTAGTGGAAGGAATCAAGGCACAATAAAGATGGATGGAATTAACCTTGCTCAAGGAAAAGCACTAGAGGCTTATGAATAAATGTATTCTTTACAGAGTGTTCTGCTAAGATGATGTATTGGAAATGTCTCCATGTTTTGCTAAAGTGATTCACTTATTTGGCATTTTATTAGTTAGAATCTGGTTTGCTGCACACAACAAAAAACTCAAATTAAATACATAGAGTTTTATTATCTCACTAAAAATATTTGCATATTAGTCCAGGGCTGGTGAGATAGAGCCATAAATTTCTCAGAGACTCAGGCTCTTTCCAGCTTTCTCTCCTTTTATTTCTAGGTTGTAACCCTTACTGGCAGAGTCTAGGTGGCTGCTGGCGCTCCTGCCATCGCTTCCTCCATCCACAGAGCAGGAAGGAGAAAAGGGGAGGAGGAGGACCTGTTCCTTTTCGTTAGGGATACGTCCAGGAAGTTCCTTATGCCACTTCAGGTTACATCCTACCGGTCAGAACTTAGTAGCTAGGGGGACACCAAGCTGCAAGGGATGCTAAAAATATACAGTCTTTATTTTATGCAGTCACTTTGCCCAACTAAAAACCAGGGGTATTCAATTACTAAGAAAGAAGGGGACAATAGATATTGTGTTACAACTATAGGTCTCTCTACAGCATTCAGTCATTCATTCGTTTGTGCATTCGTACGTTAATTCATTCTTAAGTTATTATGTGCCAGGCATTTTGCTAGGTCCTGGTGGGCCAGAGTTCATGCTCCCAGTGCATGCCACTCTGTTACCTTCAGGCACAGGGCTCCCACCTGTGCCCTGGGAATCTATTCCTTATTTAAGCCAATCCTGATTTATTAATTTGCCAATAGCCGACTGGGTTCTAGAGCCTCCCTTATGGTAATGATTCATTTCTTCGTGTGCCCAGGGCTCTCACTGGCCTCTCAGGGCGTTCCCCCTTCCTTTCCTTTCTCCGAGATGTGGGTGTCCTTGCTTGTTCTCCATGACTCTGGAAACAAGCTGGGACTCATGTAGCCAACCACAATATCATGGAACCGGAATGCAAGGAAAGGAATAAAGTTTCGTTAAGGGTTCTGAATAGTAGGATGGTTTAACCTGAGTTTCTTGGAATTGATTTTGAGGGAAGAAGTAAAAAGACCTATTATTTACGGCTTTTAAAATTTCCTAGGCCAACATAGCACATTTTTCATTCAACAAACTGGAGTTGACTATCTACCAATGCCCACGGCTGTGCTTCGGGCTGAGGATACAGAGGTCCGTGAGACACCTCTGCCTCTTTAGGAGCTCGCAGTCCCAAGCAGCGGTTCTGCTTTCCCCTGGGTAGGGGAACCTGGGGGGGGATCAACAGGTAGCTCATCTCACTCTCCCCCTACCCCACCCCCACCCTGAGAGTGGGGGGCAGATGCAGAAACAGGTCATTGCAATAGTTGAGGAGAACAGGTTGGGAGCACTAACTGTGTCTCTGGTGGCAGGGCTGGTTCCGGCAAAGCATCCCAGGGGAGGTGCTTTTCGAACTGACTTTTGAAGGATGAGTGAGAAGTTTCTATGGGAAAACATGATGGAAAGGAAGGAGGACGGGGTAAAGTGACCGTAAAGCAATATAAAAAGTCACGGAATGGATGAGCACAGCCCGCGATGGCACACACAGAGTGGAGGGGAACCTGCAGGGAGCAGGCAGACACCAACGCTACCGGGGAGATGGAGAGAGGTGGCAGAGGAACCAGTGAAAGTGACAAAGTGGAAACAATTTTTAAACAGCATGAAGGAGGGAAGCCAGGAGAGAGTTGCTCCTGGAAGTCACGGGGAGAGAATGTTTGTAGAAGAAGGGCTCATTAGCAGCAACAGATGTTACAGGTCAGATTAAAAGGGCAAGTAATAAAGAAACAGCCACAGACTGGCAGTAAGGAGGACATAAGTGATCTCAGCAATCGGGTTTCAGAACCTGGTGGGGCAGGAATCAGACCAGGTCAGAGTAGGGGTGAGGCGCGGAGCAAGCAAGTGCTGGTCAGCAGTGATGGGGAGGAGGGAGAGCGCAGGGCAGGGGCAGACCTGGAGGAGCTGCAGCCTATGGGGAGGGTGGCGTGCGTGCATGTCCGCATAGGTGGACAGGTGAGCCTGCGGGGGTGGGGTGGGGGGGCTCTGTTTACAGGTCTTTGTGACTTAAGGAAGTTGAGGAAGATTGTGTCTGCTGGCCTTGGCTGTTCCTGCAGCCTGCTGCAGGGAGGCTGGGGACACTGGGAGAGGGAGGGGGGAGGGGCTCCTGCACTCCCATTTCCGCCCCCTACAAAAACATCTGGTACCAACGTTGCATCCCATGGCCGCCCCCGATAGTTACCATCACAGCCTGAAACAAATATTTGCAATAAAAGATACATGCTTTAAAACGTATTTGTGTTTTTGATATTTTTTTAGCCTCCGGTGAGAAGGAGAACACCCAGCCCTTTGTGGCCATGCCGAAGGAATTCCCGGTGTACCTGTGGCAGCCCTTCCTCCGGCACGGCTACTTCTGCTTCTGCGAGGCTGCCGAGCAGAGGAGGTTCAGCGCCCTCCTGAGCGACTGCATCCGGCACCTAAACCACGGTACGGGTACGGTGGCGTCCCTCGCGTCCCCCGCCCGGCCGCCCTCTCCGGGTTGCCCCGGTCAGTCATCTGTTACAACGACTCTTAGAACGGGCCACAGATGTGCTGCCCCGGCAAGGACAGGGTGTTGTACACAAGGAGCTTGGCCTGCTCTGGGGGGTTTGTCGGGTCTGGGAGGTCTCAGGGCAGCACAGTGTGAACGTTAGCTGATGGCAAGTGCAGACAGTCATTTGGGCTTCTCTGTGTTTATTTATGCAGACCATTTTGCATATAAATCATGCTCCTTTTTCCTGATTGTTTACATTTAAATGCCAGCAAGAATGTGCCAATTTGTTCCTGACAAAATAATAGTCTTTGTGACATTGCTTGTTTATTTCTGAATAACAGTTACTAACTTAAATCAGTAGTGGTTTATTAGCTAATATTTATTTCTCAGTCATTGGTTCTCAGAACTTTAGGGTCCTTAAGAACCATCAGAAGAACTTAATTGAAACACAGATTCTTGGGATTCGCTGGGTTACTATGATGGGGCCCCAGAGTTTGCTTTTCTAACTGCCAAGGGTTTCTGCTGCCGCTGCCCGTGGGCCACCCTTGGAGTGGCGTTGCCTCAGAACACTTTGCCTCTAGGTATGGATTTAATTAGGATTACATCCATAATAAAAGATTTTTCATTGTGGTACGTGATGTTTCCGATATATTAATGTGAATACTGGCTGTTCTGGACGCCATGAAACCTTCGGTTGCAGATAACCGAACTCTTCGTTCTTTGGCGATTGTAGAGGCAGCCAGTCTAAGAGCACCGAGGGCTTCTTCTCTGCTAGCCTCTCTCTGAGTGTTAGGAACAGAGTAACGAGGCATACGAAGTTCCTCTGTCTCGGAGTCTAAATTCAAACAGGCAGGAAGGACAAACACACCCACAAATTCTCGTCTGGTGGTTGTCAACTTTAATGCATTAAAGAGTAGTAGAGGTCACTAGCCCAGTGATGCAGGGAGTGCAGCACTTCAAGCTTGCCGGGGAGGCCTCTGTGAGCAGGTGACATCTGAGCTGAGTCGCTTGTGCCTTCGTTTCCTAATATGGCAAATTTGACCGTGCGCTTGCTTTAAAGCCGGAGGGCCCCCTGACAGCGCCAGTCCCACGCCATGAGAGCCGCTCGTGCATCTCAGCCGGTCCTTGGTTTCAGCGTGTGCATCGCCAGCAGGCTGATGGAAAAAGATGATGTCACTCTGTTTTGCTGTAGCAACTCTGAGTCACATGTGTCAGACTATTGGCCCAGAACTAGTTAGGAACGTTATAAAAATGGTACCCTTATTAACATCTTTCCTGTGGTTTTGACGTTTTAGAAACAAAGAGTTGCCCAGCACTGCCTGCTCGGGCTAGCTCATTTTCCAATGCACTTACACCTCCATGTCTGGGGCCTTGTTCTAGCACGAACACGCAGTTGGCACCGGCCACGAGAACCGCAGAGCTGCACTGAGCAGAGAATGTTCCCTGCTCAGCCCACGGGACTCGCTGCATTCTCCCTTCCATGTACATAATAGGAGTTTCTCTGGGGAGTTTTGGGAGGCTGGGTAGCCTGCATTTAGACTCCATTTATGGAAGATTTCAGTGGATTCAAAACCTAGCTTTGCTCTCCACTGTGTTATCAAAGGCACCCAGATGATGAGGTCTCGTTATATTTCCCTGCTTCTGTGTCACATTACTCTGTCCAGAGACTGTTTTTTCCTCACCAAGCCTTCCGCAGGCTTAATTTGGCATCACTTCCAGTAGCTTCAGCCAGAACCAGGGGCCATCGCAGCCCTGTGGGGCACAGTTCTGGACTGTCCTGGGCCAGTGAGCTCGGGGGACTGTCCCTGCCTCTCTCTGTTTTCCCCAGGGCAGTGGACCATCCACTGTCTCTGTATCACTTTTTCTGTCCTAATTATTCATTGTATGATCTTGAGTAAACCAGGGAGATTTTCATGAGCTGCCAGTTAACTATATTTTTCCCCATAATTATCAGAAGAGTTTAGATATAAATATGAAATTAAGGCTGCAAAAAAGGCCAGCAACCCTGCGGGGGCTGCTGGGAGCCTGCAGTCCTCCCGCCCCAGGCCAGCAGAGGAGGGCGGGCGGCTCGCTGTTGCCGGCGCTTCCCTGGCTCTCAGGCCACCACGCGTCCTGTTGAGAGCTGGTCCTAGACGCTCTAGCAGCTGATGTTGGGCCGCTGTTCATCCCACTTGGGGTGCGCAGGATACGTCCCCAGAGCTCAAATGACTCTATGACCCAGCCAAGGCCCCAGAAGTGCTGGGTTTGCATTGGTCCAGGTGCCTATGTCCATTGATTCTGAATGTGGAGCCACTTGTCCTGTACATCCTTGTGGGGTGTGTTTCCCGCATAACCCTGACAAAGGGCCGGGTGACACCCAGTTCTTTTTTTTTGAGACAGAGTCTCACTCTGTTGCCCAGGCTATAGTGCCTTGGCGTCAGCCTAGCTCACACCAACCTCAAACTCCTGGGCTCAAGCAATTCTTCTGCCTCAGCCTCTGGAGTAGCCGGGACTACAGGCATGCGCCACCATGCCCGGCTAATTTTTTATGTATATTTTTAGTTGGCCAATTGATTTCTTTCCATTTTTAGTAGAGACAGGGTCTTGTTCTTGCTCAGGCTGGTTTCGAACTCCTGACCTTGAGCAATCCTCCCGCCTCGGCCTCCCAGAGTGCTAGGATTATAGGCATGAGCCACCGCGACCAGCCGACATCCAGTTATTAATAAACCCACCTCCTAAGGTAGGGTAGGGCAGGTAGAGAGCCCTGTGTTCCTCCCTCTTTCAAGGGAGGGAGCAGCCTCTGGGTGCCTCAAAGGTTATTTACACGCCTAAGGAGCATAAAGGTGTGTGTGTGTGTGCACCCATGTGTGTGTTTTATTTTGGTTTAGTTTTGGCATCTCTTCACTGAGCAGGCATAGGGAAATCTCACAAGATTAATCTTTAGAATCTTCCACTCCAACTCCCTGGACTAAATATGAAGCCCATTGTATGACATGTGCCTAGAGCAGATGCTGTTCTCTGTCCCTTTTGAAGTCACATTGCGGTCGCTTGTCCCTGATGAAGGAAGGCCATGGTTCTGAATGACCACTGCCACAAAATGGGCCTTATATTAACATAAAGCCAAGATGTTCTGAGATAGTGCTGTTGTCCAAAATTCAGTCTTATTCTCCAGCATTTTAGTTTGCAAATGTGCTCATTGTCGTTACAGGGATATAGTTAGGACTCCTGATAAATACATAGGGCTGAGCACATGCAGTATGGAATAAGGGTCGTTATCAGTGGGAATGTGTTCTTCCAGCTCAGGATGATCATTCCTTGGCACCTACATTTACAGGAAGTGGAAAAAGTGCTCCTGGCAGGAGGGATAGGATATTCGAGGGCCAGGAAGTGAGACAGAGCATGGACCATTAAAGGAACTGAAAAAAATTTGTGTGGCTGGTGCTCAGAGAGGAGAGAGGAGCAAAGTGAAGATGGAGAGACAGGGAGGATCTACAGGGCTTTGTGATGCATATTAAGAATTTGGACTTTATTCTAACAGCAATAGGAAATCATGAAAGTGTTTTAAGTAGATAGATGACCTCACTGGACATTCGCTTTAGAAAGGTCACGATGGCTGCAGTATGGGCAGTGGATTGGAGGGTGGCAGGCTGCACGCCCAGGAGGCCACTTAGGAAGCTTTGGCAGATGGCAGAAGGTGGTAGCCAGCCCCAGAGAGGGGTGCATGAGTGAGCAGAGGCATTTGTCAATATAAAGCGACTGTACTCACCCTAAAGGATTTGGGGAGCAGAGGAGTTGTAGCCATCGCTGGATGAGTGGTGATTCTGGAAAGCAGGTGGAATGTTTTGTTCCACAAGGCTGTGCTAGCGCGAAGGGCAGCCAGGACTGTCACTAAACAGATGCCAGTGCCCACATCATCATAAACACTAAGGAAGAGGGGACAATAGAATATCTGGGAAGCATGAAATCACATAGATTAAAAAAGACAGTATCAAAGAAAAGCCCGGAGTATTTTGATAATAAGACCACAATGACGTAAAGACACTCTGCAAACCTCTGCTTCAAGTTGGACCAGTTCGATCACCTGGGACAATTATAACATCAAGGGCGCTTATGACGGAGTGAGTCAGGCAGAATGTGGAGCTATAACAGCGATTGCATTTTGGAATTGGTTGCTCTGTCAGTGCTGTATGCCTTGAGCTCTTATCCCAGAAATCCCATGTTAAATCAAATGCCTTTATTAGATTCGATTTTGGCATGCCTGCACATTTTGGGTGTTCAATAGATGTTGCTGAATTAAATTGAATTTGATAACAAAAAAGGACCTTACAATTCAAATCAGACAGAGCAAATCCTTTTTGATGTGTTTATTTGAGCATGATGCTTTCTGCCGTCTAGCACTCAGCGGCAAGTCTCAGATCTATTTTCGCCAACTTCATTTCTGCTCGGAGCCCATTCTCACCTATGAAGCAAGTTCATTACTTGAAGAACTAAGTGTCTAGTATGGGCATCAATCAATTCCAACTGCAAACATACAATGAATTTTATTTTGTAATATATCAAAACATACTTTTAACTTTTGTGGCACATGCTTATATTTGTGGATTCACACGTACAGAGTTGGAAAATTCTAACTTATGCATAGGCTCTTTTGGACACTTTACTACAAATGAATAATGTTTGGAGATAAGTAAATTAAAACACAATTTTTGTAAACATTTCTTTGAATATTTTTACTTGTAAAATAATGTATAAAATATTATGTAGTATACTGGTGTTGCAGTATGTACATAAAATCCTCTATGTGCTGCAAACAAAATGCTTGTTAATAAATAAGTAGATATCAATTTCTAGTTTTCATAGAATGGCCCCAAACAAAATTCTTTAAAAGAATTTTCTCTGCTTGGGCTACATTTTCTCCTAGAGTTTGGCGTGTGCTCTTTTCCTTACGTAGTTAATCCTCTACAATATAAATATT